TGTATAGTTGTAGTAATACTGAACTATAAGATGTATTTTGAAGTTTTCTGGCAGCATTTTCATTCGATTTTCGCGAAGAAAAGCCTTGAATGTACTAAATGTACGCTTCGAGGTTTGAAACGTTCATATTATCAGGAATATGGGCGTTTTCCTCGCCCTTTACAATTTTATCCACACCCGTTATTGTCTCCAAGCCTACGTTTGCTGAGAAAACGGCTTTGAATTTTTCTAACACCAATTTGGCAAAAGGTCCCTGCGCTTCTATAAGCCGCATGGGCATGTGTATATTTTTTTAATCGTTTTTTGTTATTTTTTGGCCTTATAAAAATTATATTGAACAATTTTTATTGCGCTCGAGCCCGTTTTTCCGCTTTTCCACAATAAATTTTCATTAAAAAACGGCCTCGAGCTCAATAAAAATTGTTGAATATATTTTTTTAATCTTAAAAAAAAAAATGGTAATGCTATAATCACTTTTCTAAAGGTAGAAAAGGCAAAAAAGGCAAATATCTTAAAAAAGCAAAAAAAAAGGCAACATCAAATGTGTATATATGGAATCATGGAAAGCTAAATCGTGGACATTCTTAATCGAATATACTCTATCTCTTTAGCAGAAAAAAAGGAAATTTCCATAAAATTCGTTCCCTGGTTATAACTTATATTTTCAAAAATTGTCACTTAGACCCTTACGATTCTAACCCTTTCATATGTAAATTAGACTGCATCACTCCTCATACAAAAAAAATCGGTACTGTTTTTAGATTGGAACTATAAAATCTATTTTATTTTAAGACGCCCACCAAGATATTTCGGAAAAATATAAAGATTTACGTGAGCTGAACCGATTTGAAAATACCTCCAAAAATGAAGTTTTTTATAAATAAAAATGGTTTCTTAAAGTTTTTTTTTTAAATCCCCTCAAACGAAAAAACGGGTTAAGCTTAAAAATTTGCATAAAAACATTTTTAAAAAATTGATAATCGTAATAATCAGATTTTTGATGCTGTTTTTTTAACTTTTTTCAGAGATTGGTATAAGAAAAACTTGAATAACTGAACCTAAACTCTTCCTAAACTTTCCGATGGAAAGGTATTTTCTCACCCTTTTTATTTCTTTGCTAATAAACTCTTTCAAAGAATGAAAGGGAAAGGTAGGATGATTGAACGTCATTCAAAAAAAGACATTGTCCCAATTTTTTTTTTCAAATACCTGCACATCGTACTTGAAAAAAAAATAATAATTGGGACAAGAATGACTTTTTTTCACATAAATAAAAATATTGGGAAAATACCTTTGGAAAAAACAACCCAAACCAAAACATGCCACAATCTTACAATCTTTTGACATTCTTATAAATTGCCTCTTTTTGATAAATATCAAAAATACAGATCCAAACACAAACATACGTATATAAAGCAAACTCAACATCTAATCAAGCAAACTGAAACTCGCCGCACCATCAATAATTGCAAAGAATAAACTTAAGTTGGACTTCTGCATCATCGAGTGATTTAAAGTATATTTACATCTACGTCATTATGAAAAATCCGATCTGGTTCATTTTCTGGCTTTTGATTTTAATTTTCATTTCCTTTTTTGTGGCTTTCCTGGGTGCATTTTTTTATATATTCCTATATATGCTTGAAGCCTGTTGTGGTTGCTGGAATGTAAGTAGAATACAGCGCAAATATTTGAAATTCCACAGGAAAAGTAAAACCCCTTTCCGTAATCCATATTAAATCATTATGAAAGCTTACAGCTTTTCCCTACAAATTATGAATCGTGAAAACTTTAAATGGCTGTACTTGCCCACCAAACAAATTTTGTTGCCGGCAATACGAAAATGTTTCGCCCTCGAAAACAATTGTATTGCCGGTAATATTGCTATAGTCAGAGGCGTAACTTATGGGGGGCTTAGCTGGCAAAATGCCACAGGCCCCCGGTCCTAGAGGGAGGGAGACCGCGAGCTCTGTAATATCCTAAAATTTTTAACACAACTAATGCTGCCTTCTCCTCTACGCACAAATACTAGGTAAAGGGCACTGAGAAGGCAACATTTTTTTGTAGAAAAGAAAACGCCACTTGTGCACAAGGGTATTATAACTTTGTTCACATAACGGTTGTTTGTAACAAGCAAAACAAATTGAGATAGATATAGACAGATGTATACATAAATGATCAGAATGAATAGAGAAATCGATTAAGCGGTGACTGTCTGTGCACACGATAACTCGAGTAAAAATTGAGATATCTTAACGAAACTTGGTACGTGAACTTCCTTCGGGCGTAGGACGGATGGTATTGAAAATGGGGAAAATTGGACGATAACCACGCTTACTTCCCATATAACGGTAATTTTCCGAAATTCGAAAACTGCGATATTTTAGTAACTACTAAAGATTATACACACATAATTGATATTTACAATACCTTTTTGGTAGCCAATGTCTTCCAAGCTTGGCACAGTTGTTGGTCTTGGTACACCATACCAAATGGCCGAAAATTATTAAGATCGGACAATAACCACACCCACATCCCATATAACGGTAATTTAGAGAAATACGAAATCTCCGATAATTCAGTAAATATTTAAGCTAATACATTCAAAATTGAAGCTTGCAACAATTATTTACCAAGAAATACGTTCGTAATAAAATTTTGAAAAATGGGCGTGGCACCGCCCACTTATGATATATTATATTATTTCTCGGTAACAGTTTTACCAATTTGTACCAAACTCGGTATGGTTGTTGTGCTTGCCATATAAAAGCAAACCATTGAAAATTATTGAAATCGGACTAAAATTACGGCCGCTTTTCATATAGGTCGTTCATACAACTTTGTTTGCAATGTTGCGGTTTTGCCAAAAATGCCACTTTGTCACGTTTTATGAATCGCACTATTGTCTCGGTATATGTTTTTATAGATCGGTAGGAGAGCACACGGCATCCTCTAAACCCCCGACACCTTGGATAGCCGCCGGGCACACCAGCTGAAATCCGCTGCTGCTTACATACTTATACATAGATATGTACAAAAGAAAATTTAGCAGCACAAAAGCCAGTAATAGATATCGCAATGCATTTTTAATGGATGCTTTGCTCAATGATGTCATTGTAAAACTATGTTCACATATCAATATTATCTTAATTAAAGCTCATTTTTTAATCACCCCGTTTACACAGGCAAATCTCAGATTATTAGCCGTCAAATTTGTTGTGCTTGTTATTCTCACATCTCAAGGAAAAGTTATGTTTCTTCTCTGTGCCCCCGTGATCACGTTTTTCTGCTATAATAAGCAATATAAATATATTTTAACTTAACATTTTATTAAAAATACCTTTACAAACCTCTTTTACTTGCTAGCGTACATTTTTGTTTACTTTTACATTTGGCATTTCTCCTCTCTTTCGCAAAAACAATCGATAAAACTAGGATGGACACCGAAAAGTTATCGGTTAAATCTGAGATTATTTTATAATTACAGATTAACAAGGGACGAATTTTATATGGCTAATCTCTTGTTATAATTACAGATTAGGGTGTTAAGCTCGAAAATTAGGATAATCTACTTATATGTGAACCTAGTATAAGTCTATTGAAGAAGTCAAGCTTTAGTTACTCTGCGTCATTATGCATAGATAAGCTAAATTAACTTTGCAATTACCTTAAAAAACGCCTTCATATAGATACTTTGCTTCCCAAATAATACATATGTATGTATATGTGTATGTAGATTCGTCCTTTTATTTGGGCGGTTCGGAATATGCCGATGCTTTTAGTGACATTATTGTTTGAGCTTTGCTTTATATTTGTTTCTTTAACCAATATGAAGAAAAAAGCGGTTCTCCAAAGCCTCAATTTTTCTAATATCAAATCCAAGTTTCATATCAACTCGACTCCCTACTTATATTTAATATATGTATGTATAACTTTGAATGACTTAAGTGAATTAAGTAAATGTATTTTTACCTTTAATTACATATTTCATGTTCATCTGTCTTTTTTTTTATAGGGAATCAATAATTTTCTGCTGAAGTGCATTCAATTTCCTCATTTCTGTGCCGAAGCTATGCTGCAATGCAGGTCTCCATGTTAAAAGAAAAACATTTAGTATAATACTTGTGTATGCTCATATTTCTATATTTACAACTTAAAACTATTAATAAATGAGTTAATGACTTTAATTTATGAATTTTTAATAGTTTTCAGATAAATAGGGATCAGGATATTTGTATTCAAAATTACTATTGGTAACGTTAGAACAGGTACTATTAAATTATGTATATGGATCTAATTAGCAATGTGGAAGCAGTCGATATATTTAATGGCGTTTTTTTTATTACCGAAAAATGTTGCCTTTTTAGTATCCTCTACGCACAAATACTAGTTAAGGAAAGGGCAATAAGAAGGCAACACTTTTTCTAGAAAAGAAAACGCCAAAAGAAAGTGGATTTGATATCTGCCTTGGCTAATGAAGTCTTATATTTTAAATATGTACAGTATTGCGCAAAACATATGCAATTACATCGACCTTTTCATTTGATCTTAAGCGTGCGGCAGCTTTGTGTTAATGTTATAACTTTGATTTTTCGGGTACCCCTGGGTCTGGGTACGGCCTTAACACAGCGAGCCTGGGCTTCGAAAGAAACGTATTCGTAAGGGATTCGGAACTTAACTACAAAGGCCCGTAGGCACGAAAAGAGGCCGAACACACATCAAATCGAGTCCTAACCACGAAAATAACCTTTTTTGGAAATTTAAATTTTAATGCAGAAATGATCTGTTATTTTCGCGGTTAGGTCTAGAAATATATATTTTTTTCATAGCTTGGCATTGTGATGTGGAACAATTTTTGCAAGACTGAAAACATGGATTTTAGGGCAGAGACCGTAATCATTATGAACGAGCAGGTAAAAATCATAATCTAATCGTTATTTTCGATCATCGTTGTTGGTTATTATGCCAGTTTTATTTTTTCGATCATCTTTAGGTGTTATTTTATGATTTTTATTTTATCGATAATCTCTAATCGTTATATTGTGACTCAATTTTTTTCGATCAGAAATTATTGTTATTTTGGATTTTTATTCTTTCGAACATTTTTAACCGTTATCATAGAAAGTGCGTTTTTTATAAGCGATTTTAATCTTTTGTGATCTATGTAGATGAAAATCATAAAATAACCATTAAAAGTTATCAAAAAAGGGAGCCACAGCCGATAAACTTAAACGATATTGCGATACATATTTAAATTGTGTATTTAATTCCCTCAATACAAGTTGAATCAAATTTCTAAAACATATGGCAACCCTCTTAAATAAAGTTCAGAACAAAAAATATTTTTAACCCATGTCAATTTATACCCATACTTTAGTAATTCATTTGACTAACTAAATAATTATTAGCATCCTGCACCGCAATAAAAAAAAGGAATTTTTAGCAAAAAAAAACCGACTTAAAAATAATATATATATATCCATATATTTCATGATTCAATGATCGGATCTAAACCATATTAGTATGGGAGAGAGATACTACCTTTCCGTTGCAAAAAGAATTATGGAAATCGGTTGACGTGGTGCAAACTTATGCGGAAACATACATAAAAACAAAAATAATCCGACGAACTGATAACCTCCTCCTTTTTTGGAAGTCCGTTAATAAATATGACTGAAAGTCCTCTCAACTGGTGCAGCATTGAAAAGAATTTAAAATATGGTAAAGTTTCACACGCAGATATTTTTCGCCTCGAGCGAGCATTTACATATTTAGTGACACAGGTTTGATTTACGACCCTTTAAGAAACAGGCTGTAACCTGAAAAGGCAGTAGCATTGCTTTTTATTAAATATGCTCCAATTTTGAAATTTAAGTACTAAAAATAAACATTATTACAAATTACTTCCATTTTTTTTATTTACATACATTTTCTTACCAAAATTATTTCTTAAAAATACTTCACATCAACATTCGCATCCGCATCCGCGGATTTTAGCTTTTAGACATCCGCATTCGCATCCGGGGATGTCTAAAATTTTGCATTCTCAACATCCCTAGTATATAAATATTTACCGTACTAATTACGAGTAGTGTCAACGGGATTGGGATGATAAAGAGTGGTCGCATATATGGGAATGGTTCGAAAAAATTATAAAGTTTATAATGTAAACAATAGTAAAAGCTGTAGGAAAAGCATACCATTAACAGAAATGCTAAATTAATGTAAAAAAGCTTTTTTCGAATGAGGTGCTGGTGTTTCTGTGGTCAAATGAAGAGAATGAAAGTTTTTAACAGAAGCCGGGATAGCAGTATGAATGTATGTGTGTATGTATGCACCTTAGGGTGGTCCAAAAATGCGTGTAAAAACTTAAAGTTGGAATTTTTATGCTCTAACAACCTAGGATTGTTCTATACCGAAAAAAATATACCACTATTTTTATTTTGAAATCAAACATATTTAGAAGTCGTTCAAAGCGCTCAAAGTTTTCGTTATATTTTATATGGGGAAAAAACAACTTTTCGTAGAAATGGCGTCGAATTCTTGAAAATCAATATTTTCCGACCGGGAAACTCTGTTACTCTTCAGGAGATTCCCAATAATAAACCCAATTATTTTCTTAACCATTTTTTTTATAGTAACTATATTTTATACGTCCGCCAAAACTCATAGAAAACGCCAGAATATGCAATGAGGGGATAAATAAAAAATCTTTAGTATTAAAAAATGGTTAAATGAACAATTGAATATTGTTATTGAAAGTGTCCTGAAGAGAGAGTTTTCCCATCGAAAAATATTGATTTTCAAGAATTCCATACCATTTCCATGAAAAGTTGTTTTTCCTATAAAAAAAAAAATAGGAAAACTTTTAGCTCTTTGGACGACCTCACAATTTTTTTTGCTTTCAAAATAAAAAAATAAGGTTATACTTTTTTGATATAGAAAAATCCTAGGGGTGAGAGCATTAAAATTCCGACTTTACTTATTTTGGACCACTCTAATATACATGCAGTAGTACATTTCAGTCATATATGCATGCAGATTTGTGAGAGCGAATTTATTTTTCCATCTCACGCACACATGGATGCTTTTAGCTTGGTTGCGATTTCGTTCTCTTCTCAATTTGTAAACTAATCAAAGGCATGCGTTCCTTCATAACTGTTATACACAGCAGCGGAGAGAGTGGGTGGCTATCAGGTGGTTTCTGGTAGTTGCTAGTTGGTAGTTCGGTTGGCATGTGAAAACGAAAGAAAGCTTTAGAGGAAAAACTTATTAATTTTGAGGAACTGTGTCTATTCCGGGCCCGGGTGCAATTCAATTGTGAGTGTTCTCTCGACGCGGTTAGTGTTGCAGTTTGCGGTTTTATTGTAAAATACAAAAGGCTAACTTTGAAAACTGTGAAACAGTTACGTTTGAGTGTATCCGAAGAGTGGGAATAGTGTGTAGTATTGTTAATAAAAAGTGAATTTAATAAAACTCATTGCAATAAATGCAGAGATTTTA